AAACAAATCTTTGTGAATAATAATAATCTTATAAAAGCTTATGTAATATGACGATCAAGTTTACATACTATACTTATGTAAATACCTTGAGTTACTTGCCAGTTCGTTATTTTTTAATGCACACTTTTCTTACTCACTACATATGATGTGTACACATAAGTACTAATTGCACATAAAATTTCAAATTAGAATATGGTGTGCTTCAAAAGTTATGACATAATTAATTTTTCACCTCTTAAAAATTACATAAAAAATTCACTTGTTTTCATTATTATTTTTATTTAAACACCTATAATTCAAAAGTTATGCAGCAAATTGATCCAAATTTTGTTTGAGGCTTCAAGTATACGTGAATGAATTATATCTAAAAGCAACCAGCTTGATATAGTTTCCAACAGTGAAAATAAAGCTAAACAACACCAAGGTTACCTGTTTTTTATATTTGCCCATATATATATATATATAATGCATATATATATATCAGTACATAAGCAGACAACAGACGAGTTTATCAATGTGTGTGTGTGTATAAAGTACTGTTACACGACTATTATACAATGCGTGTATACTTATACTCATAGGGCTGGTTTCTCCAACTCAACTTAACTTAGTTTAGCCACTTTTTGGACTTAGGTCAAAAGTTAGTCTACGTTTTACACAGCTTATTCATGACTCAAGTCAAGAAAATTGGGTTAACTAAGTTAAGTTGAGTTGGAGAAACCAGCCCATAGTCATGAGGAAAACATAGGGACACGACACTTTGACCAGTTGTGGCAATTTTTCTTTTGTTTGTATAATTTTTATTGTTTTTTATAAAAATACTGCTCATTATCTAATAAAAAGCATATAAGTCCAAATTTCAAACTTTGTAGAAAAATTAGAAAAAGTAAAAAAAATGTACAACAAAAAACTTTTTATTAAGAACTTCAAGAAAAATTCTAGGAACCCACTCTCATAGCTCATTAAGTTCTAGCTCAATACAGTGCAAGTTTCAAGTGGGTAAGAATTCGCGTTGAATTTTGATAATTTTTTTGCTGGCGGTGTCAGGCAGTTTTATCCATACAAAGAAGAAAATAATAACACCATCCGCAAAATAAATTATTAAAAATCAACGCGAATTCTTACCCACATGAAAGCACTATATTAAGCTAGAATTTAATGAGCTTTGAGACTGGGTACTTAGAATTTTTCTTGAAATTCTTAATAAAACGTTTGTTGTAGTAAATTCTTTTTGACTTTTTCTAATTTTTCTGCAAAGTTTGAATTTTATATATGCTTTTGTTAGATAATGAGCAGTATATTTATAAAAAACAATAAACATTAAGCAAACAAAGGAAAAATAGCAACAACTGGTCAAAATGTCGTGTCCCTATTTTTTTAACATAACGGTATGTACATATATACACTCATATGTTTAACTTCTTATTTGCATTACAATTGTACGCCACCCACATATTGACAAATTCTGACTACTCGTTTTTTACCACTTAATTTTTATTATTTTTACATACATACACGCATACATATATTTATATATATCTATATAATACGTATACGCTTGTGTGTATACAAAAGTATAAGTTGACAGTAAAATATATATGAATATGTATATCTATATATTTTTTTATAATGTGTATTATAATTGTACGCCACCCCCATATTGACAAATTCTGACTACTCGTTTTTTAACTACTTAATTTTTATTATTTTATATAAGAATATAGTTTATTTTTTAATAAAAACCGTAAAAATCCAAGTTTTAAACATTGTGCAATACTTAAAAAAAATTCAACAAACTTTGGTAATAAAATAATTTATAAGTTATAGAAAAATAAATAAATAAATAAATAAAAATTTTTTTAATTAGATTTTTCAGAAAGATTTTGGGTATGCAGTTTTGTAGGCCATTTAAGTTTAGTGCAAGGAAGTGAACGTTTGAAGTAGCTAGGACTTACCATTGATTGTTGCAATTTTTTTTTTGTTGAAGGTGTTGCTCATTTTCCTCCATATAAAAAAATCGTCCAAAATACTTCATATGAAAAAAATTTGTAAAAACAACGGTAAGTCCTAGATACCTCAAGCGTGCGATAAAATTGAATAGCATACAAAGCTGCATACCCAAAATCTTTCTGAAAAATCTGATTAAAAAAATTGTATTACCAAAGTTTGTTGAATTTTTTTTAAGTATTGCACAATGTTTAAAACTTGGATTTTTACGGTTTTTGTTAAAAAATAAACTATATTCTTATATAAAATAATAAAAATTAAGTAGTTAAAAAACGAGTAGTCAGAATTTGTCAATATGGGGGTGGCGTACAATTATAATACACATTATAAAAAAATATATAGATATACATATTCATATATATTTTACTGTCAACTTATACTTTTGTATACACACAAGCGTATACGTATTATATAGATATATATACATATATGTATGCGTGTATGTATGTTAATAACGATGTTTATACATATATATGTACATGCATATCTAAATCACATTATTGTTTGAATCTAATTTCGCTTTTTTTTTCTATAATTTCTAACTGAAGAAGCTCATTTTTCAGTTGTAATGCTATTAATTCTTGCTAATGTTTTTCCTGTGCCCGGGCATTTCCTTCTTCATAAAATTTTTGTTGAAAAACTGCCAATTTAGTCTTCTCTTCTTCCTAAGTACGCATGCGGGTGACAGGACGGTCGACCAAAAGTTTGGAAGATTTTCTGGTTCGCGAAGAGTTGGGTGTCCAAGAAGACCATTCTGATCCTTCAACATTAATGATTTCCAGATTTTCCTATGAAAAAAAAAACAATTATTATGTACGTTGATTTATGGTAATACATTAATCTATTTATACCTGCGGACAAAGTAATAGAGACGCAATATTTTGACAAGTTTTCCATATTTTTCTTTCCTTTGTTTAATGCCATTAATTTTTTATAAAAGTATAGCTCATTATCTAACAAAACCCAAAAACATCTGAAAAAGTAAGAAAAATTTGCAACGTTTTGTTTAATATAACAATAAGTTTTGAACACACTTTGTAAGGAAGAAAATTTGTAACACCGTCAGCAAAAAAAAAAATTATCAAAAATCAGGCGCACTTTCAGCAACAACAACAATTTAAATCCATTCAAAATAAAAAGTTTGGAATTTAAAAGAAACTTGCAGAACTTTCTAATTTTTGCACAAATTTTGAAATGAATTTATATGGGTTTTGTTCGATAATGAGCAATACTTTTATAAAAGATTAATGACATTAAACAAAGGAATGAAAATATGCAAAACTGTCAAAATGTCGCGTTACTATCATTTCGGTCATAAGAATATGTATCGTCGTTTAAAGTACAAAACCGCGTATTAAGATAAAGCAAAACCACGTATATGAGGTTACGCAAATTTTGCAGGAGAGAGTAAAAATCTGTATTATTTCGAAACAGTTCACTCTTTTATAAAAAAACTATTTCGTCTAGTTTTATGCTTTAAGGAAAGTCACCTTGGGAGCTGTTTAAAAATAGGGGAACTTTCGTTTTTTTTTGCAAAAAGATTATAACCCTCACTAAGAAGAATTCTCTTTTTTGTGTTACCGAAGAAGAGGGGCTGAAAACCTTTTGCAGAGAACGCCTTTCTGCGTAGGCGGGCTCCGCCGCACTTAGGGATTATAACCCTCACTATGTAGAACTCTCCTTTCTGTGTTGCCAAAGAAGTGGGGCTGAACACCTTTTGCAGAAATATTTCGTTGATATTTTTTGTGTTTGGCCGCTCAGCTCGAAAAATTGCAAAAAAAAACATATTTCAAACCGAAATTATAGTATATTTTTTTTTTAATAAAGCGTACACTCTTTTCTACAAGTGTGCTTCAATTTTTGTTTGATTCGGGTCACGCGTTTGGGCACAGCAACCCAAAATCGTTGTACAAATAACTAAACCTTACCCCAAATATCAGTTACGCTATTTTGCAGAACCATGATAGCGGGATCTTACTTTAAACGACGATATATATGTATATACTTGCCTGGTTTAGCTCGTCGGAATTATTTGATTCTTCATGGTGCACATTGGATTTTCCGGTGTACTAATATCAACTAAAGTTAAAGGCATTTATTTTTAAAACACATTTAAGAGTATATGAAACCATAAAGGTACTTACTTGCATCACCATCAAATGCATTTTCCATTCCAGTGGCTGACTCCCCCAAAATGGTAGCAACTTTTTGCGTTATTATGCTGTTGCTCCTTACAGCCGCCGAACCACCACCTGTGCGATATAGCTCGCATTTTTCTGAGGCAATTTCGGCTTTGGATTTTCGTTTTAAGCTCTCGAACTTGCCCCTTAGAGTATTTCACTCCNGCATTTTTCTGAGGCAATTTCGGCTTTGGATTTTCGTTTTAAGCTCTCGAACTTGTCCCTTAGAGTATTTCACTCCCGTTGGACACCAATCCTTGCAGTAAAGCGCTCCGCCAACTTTTTCCAGGCCTCCTCCTTTTGTTTCCAAGTTACCGCATCTGATGTTTTGCTTTCAATTACATCTCTTTGGTCATCGACCAACTCCACTAACATAACTCCCTCCTGAGAAGTAAAATTGTTACCTCTTTTTCTTTTTAATTGTGAGTTTTCCATTGCAAATTAATTTCAATTAACAGCTGATTTTGTTTTCTTCTTACTTGTACGGCATTGCCAACACTAAAATCTTAGAGCCAATGTAGTCNTGATTTTGTTTACTTCTTACTTGTACGGCATTGCCAACACTAAAATCTTAGAGCCAATGTAGTAGATTTTTACTTTGGCCTTGCCATAATTTCAGAATAATAAATTTATCTTTACAGGTTAGATGAGAAAACCAAAATACCTAACACGCGCTTTAAAGTGAGGAACAATTTATCCGCCCAATTAGTAAAGGCAACTTTATTGCTTACATTAGAAAACGGCCCTTAAAGAGCTAAATTTTTCTTCTAAACTAGGGTAATCGAACCCCCTAATATAACTGTTTATACTTACTGGTCATTTTCGAAGTATGGCGCTGAGTTCGCACGTTCTGGAAGAAAAAAAGCCAACTGTACAGTTGAAGCCATAGCTGGGAGTTCATCTCGGCCAACCCTTACTTCTTCTGCAATAACAGTTAGCAAGACAGGATCTCCAACATGTGTGATTGCCGCAATATCTTCGATTGGACGCATCAGAAAGATTTCTCCTGAAAATTAATAAACACGTAAATTAAGCATTTCACGTAAAATGGCATTGAAATTTAAAAAAAAGTGTTCCTTATTAATATAAATTCCTTATTAATATAATCAAATTAAAGTCAAAATTTACTAATCTGGCGGTAGTAAAACGCAAAGAGGACTTTGCTTATCTCATTAGCGAACACAAGAGGTGGGTTTTGGGGTTCAAACCCCCTAAAGCTAATAAGCTCAAATACAAACTGTATCTTAAAGCTTAGAACCCCGCTTTCAAGAAAAACCACAAGAAATATTTCTTGTTATTTCTGTTGCTTGAAAAAGCACTTAGATTTTGCTATAAATTTTCTTGAAGAAATAAATATACGAGCATTTTCTTCTTGAGAACTGCGAACTGATTTAAGAAATTTTTATTGATGAAACTTCTTCCAATGCCCGCTTACTTCGCGGCGCCTAATAAGAGCTTTTGCGTTGGCCAATGCAAAAGAGCGTTTAAAAACAAAATTAGTCTTTAAAGTCCAAATTTTTGATGTAAGTTGAAACCATTAAGGCGCAGTATCCTCCTCACACATAGGCCAATAATAGTAACGCTGTGATACCATATGGAATACCAATCCTTTTCGGTGTCATGAGCTTTACCTATGGTCTTATTTC